TATATCTTACACATGTACATCATAACTATGTGTAGAAGATGATGACGATGGAATTGATGAGATATGATTAGGAAGATACATCATGTGACATGAATAGTAAAAGTGATACTGGCTAGTGATATAATATACAATAACAAAGGAAACCACTTATTATTACTGATAAGAGATGGAGAATTTCCTACATTTTTTTTAATTAGAACAAAGTTTGTCGCAGCATAATATTTGAAATCAAATTTAGAGTTTTAAATTGGACTTAGAGAATATTGTATAATTTTCTACTTAAAGTCTGTCGTAAAATATATTCTTATATATATTTATATAATTTATCTCAAATTCTAATTTGATTTATGTTGTCCAAATTCCATCTGTTTAAAAATCTGAATTTGTAACTATGAGATGGGACCTTGTTACCTCTGATCTTGTCTATTATTGTTTAATTTCTAATATTAAAGTTATATTAAAAGAGACAATTCTATTATCAGATGATCCTGATATTCATCTTTTATTAAGAATATCATTTAAAAACTTTTCAAAGTACCTATACATATTTTTTATAAATGTTTAAATTTAATATCACTGTTGGCATCAAATCATAATATCACTTTTATTGCCAAATATCTATATCTTTGCTACAGAGCAAATGTTTGTTAATACATATGATATTGATTATATATTACATTAGTTCAATAGCATATCCAACAATTAAAAGAAAGTATTTGTAATACAACACTGATATTAGATACAAATATAAGTCCTTACTCCAGGATAAACATTCTATCTGAAACTCATATATAAGTTAATGATCATACTTCAATTAAAACATTTTACAATCACAATTAAAAATAAATTCACAATTAAATTCCACAATACATACAGACCATGTAATTTTATATTAAAGGTAATGAAAATTATTACTGAGAAATTTTCTATTAAATAATCATGATACTTGATAGACTACTAAAACAATGACCAGATCTCTTAATTGGAACACCTTATTAATGAATAGATGTTTTACAATGGGGTTTATATACATCTTACTTAATGGTTTTGTAACAATTAGGAAAGTTGATTAGGATTTTCAGTTGATTTAGTGTCCCACTATTGGGTCATGTGTATGGTATCAAGAAGCCTGTTCAGTGCTGTCTTAAGTCATCTTTAAGCTACTGCAATTAGCCCAGAAATCGCGTGCCAAATACACATTTGACTATCTTCCATGTTAGGAGGTTCTGAATTGTCGTAACAAATAGTCCAGAACATAATGGGAAAATAACGTGATTTGTGCAATAAACTTCTTTTGACTTGCAAAACAGGTTATGTAACAATTGTAATATTCTACGATATTGGGTGAACTCTGGTTCGATGCTAACTTTTTCAATAATCTGAAATTAGTTTTGCAACTAATAATAATTTTTACATTTTCTCTTTTTAGAATGGTGAAAATTTCTTTTATATGTTCTGTGCTATGTGACCTATTAAGGATGTATTACACTTAAGTAAGAGGAGATTTTATTAGATAGAAATACTTTCTCATATATACTTGAACGTGAAAGGTAGAAGATGCCAGAAATTGAGTATAGTTGTTTAAATAAATTTCCAAATACAATCTTTCATTTAAGTGTATATGTAAGTTTGCCAAGATGATTACATTTTTTGAGACAAAATATAAGTAGCAATTGAATAGAAATATGACTAGAAATTTCTTTTAATATTGTATATTTTAATAGTGAAAAATTCTTCAACAAATTTTGTATCATATCAGTTACTGATCACTTAAAATGCTTAACAGAACTTTTATGCTATTATTATTATTTTTATATAATTAAATATTCCAATAAAATTATCACTTTATCTTATTTTCATGTAATATCTCAACACATTTTATTTTTGTGAATAATGTATAGAGCTAACTTAATTATCCTCTTTTATTCCTGAAAATTTCTACATTTCAATGCCAAGTTTTTTTTTTTTTCTCTAGAATCTCGCATATATACATTCCAAGTTTTAGTACAGTTGTTATTATATTTATCTCATATCTGAAACAAAATTGAAGAATTATCAAAAGATAAAAACAAGGAAAATTTATTCAATACTTTATAAAATAAAGGAAGTATTTGCTGTTAATATATATTAACAATTTTAGTGAAAGGTAAATGTAATTGACAGATTATAATTATACTACACAATTGGATCTCATTAAAATTAACTAGGGTGTGTTAAGACACTTGAGCAGGATTACATATGCGACTCTGGAAAATAATTATTGTTACATGTCAATGATGAATCAAATTTTTAAATGTAATGTTATAAATAATATAAATCTAATAATATAATCTAATATAAATATAGAAGAAATATTAATGTTATAGATAATGTTATAGAGTAATAGTTAATTCTTAATAACGTTTTCAATGTCTACAGTTTTCTTGGAAATAGTACTAATGATTTATCACATTTAATATATTTTTGGTTATTGTTAAACATTTTTTTTCTCTTTCTTAATTTATTTTCAAAAATAAGTCAAATTTATTAACCTCTTTTTTAAATCTTTTACAGCAGTTTTATTAAATTCCTTTTCTAAATTAAGCAGTAATCTTACATATATAATTTTATTTAATGCAAAAGACCATATGATTTCCTATGAATCAAAAAATTCATATCTTTAGTCATTATTCTGTTTGGGTATCTATTAAATTGTTAGCTTATTTCTCTAATTTTTTGATTTTCTGTATAACTTGGATATAACTATATTATGTAATGCATATTTAACTGACAAGTATCATTTGTTAAGTTTTTATACATCACAATAATTTTACATAATAATATACATCATAATAAATTTCCTTTGAAAATTTATTTTTTCTTTAATTAAAATTTTTCACATTAATGAAAAGTTGCCATTTTTTCTTCATTTAACTTCTTTGAAATATATATTAATATTAATGGGCTTAAACTGGTTTAAAAAAAATACTTGAATTCGATTTTGATCTTTAATTTGTTTTGTCACAGTATCTATCATTTTATCATAAATCAAGTGACAAAACATCGGTTTAGTTAGATTTTAACTTTGAAATAATATGTAATATCTGTTATTAATTTTTTTCTAGATGATATTATTTTATGGAGGTAAAAATAATTGTATCAATCAAAAATGGTACTATTTTTCTCTTCCGAATTTTAAGTTATGTCATGAATATTTTTTGTATCGTTAAAGATAAAGGAAACATTTCTTTCAATTTAGTTCTTTTAATTGAAACACCGTGTATTTTGAAAATGTGTTATATTTTGAAATACGTTATATGTTGTGGGATCGACTGCTTCATATTATAATAAAATAATTTTTAACAAAAAAAGAAATTATTTTAAATTAGGTAAATTCGAACAAACCTGAGCAGTTTGATTCTGGTTAATTTTAGTTTGAAAAGAAATTATTATTGTTTTCCGATTATACTTGATAGATATTAAAAAAATACTTCATGTTGTTTATCAATAAGTGAATAAAGTCAGAAAGATAAAGAGATAAATTAGTTAATTTTGTAAACAGTTGAATTTTTTTATATGTAGATAGATTAAAGTAGATATAGATCTTTATCACAGATCTGTTCATATGATTATCTCTAGAATTATTAATCTTCTACAAAACTTAAATTAGAGATAATATGCTTTCAATAAAAGTTTTATTTTAGAATTTTATTTCAATTGAATATGTATCAAAGGCGTTAAGAATATATATTTTTGTGAGGAATTTGCAAATTACAATATTATACAGTAGCTATTATACTTGTGCATATTATGCTATATTATGAGATTTTTATGGTTATAATAAAATCATAATTAGATTTTATTTAATGAATTTTATTATATTATTTTACTTAAAGATGTTGAGATACTAAAACCTTTATCATAATGTAATACTAAAATCTTTACAATAAAACTATTGAAATCATTTCCTTCAAGAACAATTTGTAAAATATTGTAAGAAAGACAAGCATGATTTTTAGTTATATGAATAAGTAACATTATGGAAGGTATATATAAAATGATTCATTTAAATTGACCCATTACCTTATCTTTGAAATTTCTGATGATATTAAAAAATGCTTCAAGCAAAATAAAACAGTTAAATAGTTTTAAGAGGCACATAATTTGATGCGATTAAATTTTTCTTGGATGATGACGTAGAAAACATGAAGATCAACTCTTTCCTTAAATGGAATCATGAATCTTTAAATACGTCATGCAATTCATCATTGCATATAAAAAACTATTAAGCTATTTATGGCAAAAGATCATTAGTTTGGAAGATATTTTAATTTCAGTATTAGGTTGGCATTAGCGACACATTTATTATTCTAAAGTTCGTATTCAAAAATAATTACTAATTATATAATTATATAATTAAATATGTGTATTATTATTTAATATCAAAATTAAGATAGCTTTCAAAGTAATAGTCATAAGTGAGTTTTGAAAGAGAAAAATGAGTTGCATTAATTATTATATTAAAAAATATGTAATTTATTTAAGAAAGCAAAGTTCCTTTGCATCTATATAAGAAACACTTATGAAGTTTTTCTGAAACCATTCAATCTTTGTTTGAAACATTTTTTGATATAATAAATCTCATCATATATTAATCCAATATCCTCATCCATATGTTATCAGATGCTTATATTATACATATAGACAATAAAAATCAATTTGTATTTACAAAATTAAACTAGTAATCATTAATTCCTTTCACTATAAAATACACTGAATTATATTTCTTTTTTAAGATCTTAGTAAAAGGTGTCTCATAGGATAACACTGCAAGAGCTTAAATGAAGATAACTATAAAAGATACATAAATATTATAAAAATAAATAAAGATATTCTAATTGATTACATCAATACGTATTCTACGTTAATCTAACAAGTATTTGCTAAGATATAGATGAGTACATATGTGAAATAGTGAAATATAATATATATAAAAAATTAATTCTTTTATTATAACTTACATCGATGAGATCCGAGAGGTCGTCCACAAAGTATTTATGTATTGTTGTATTAGATGCCTCGAGACACAGAATGTACTCATTTCTTGCTTTTAGAGCCTTCAGCTTCGCTTCTTGATATTTGGCCTTCCTCTATAGAATAAAGAGCATACATGTGTTCAATCAATTTTTTCAAGTATTACTTGCCTTTATGAGATTCTCCTTTGAAACATTCTAATAAAATGTTTTAATTCGCATAAGGAATTTGAATTAGGATGTTTGATGTTAACAATATTAATTAATTTTTTGACGATAATATAATTTCAATTTTAGAGAAATGTGTCCACCCTTTGAATCCTAATTTTTTTAGCATGATATACTATGTATATCTAGGTTCTCAAATAAAAGTGACATACAGTTATTGTATGTCATTTGCAAAGCTAAATTACTGCTACTATTTTATGCTATAATGAGTATAACTGAATTATAAGTTTTACAGTGATCATTATTTAATCATCTTAAATAAAAGATAGTAAAAAATAAATTTCAAACTAATATATCAATGATATATCACATATATAATATATCAATAATTATAAAATTCTTAAACATTTCCATACATTTAAAATACTTATTTCTTATTTATTTAAATATTTTTAGGTGATTTGGGTGATAGATGGTTAGTCCTTAAATTAACACACATTTTCTGGATGACAAACTAAAACATGTTTTGTTCTGTGTATTTAGTTGCTTTATATCTTTGTTACTAACAACAATATTTAATTTGTTTAGTGTTTATCAAGTTAAATACCATTGTAAAATGAAGCTATCTCCTTATATTATTTCAAAAAATGATTTACCAAGCAATCAGATATCTGAAAAGTGTTTTGTAAGTTTTTAATGTTTGCAAGAACAATCTGGTAAGAATATATAAATTGTAATTAATGGATATTTAAAAGTATTAATTAGTCAAATTTTATCATAAGTAATGAAACATTAAATGTAAAGATGGCTGCTAATTTTTTAATACATGAAACAAAAATATAATTAAGTAATTAAGATTTCCAGAGATTTTTAAAAAGGGTTATGTTATAGCTATTAAAAAGCACTTATGTCGTGCAAAAAAATACAAAAACTACAGAAGATTATTTCTCAGTGGAAAAAGGTTATTTGGTTCTGAACCAAATGTAACGTATCATATAAAACAAACAGTTAAGCATAGAGATGGTCTATCATACCATGAGAATGTGTGAATTATATTTGATAGTTGTGTGTATATTAGAATTGCATTTAATTAAAGTATTAATTATATCTATTATTAATAGACAAAAAACAAATGAATGTAATATTCCTATGATTCATTATTATTTTTGATTGATAAATTACACATCAAATTAAACACCAAATAATATTAAAATTTAATAGAAAGCATAACATAATATACATATTGGCTCTTTTTGTATTTCAAGGATAAGTTATTAATACCTACATATTAATTAAAATGATATGTAATATATAATATAATAAATAATAATGTGCAATATACATTAATATATATTAATAAATTGAAATATCAATAAATATTTATAAAAGACTTAGATGTACTTCATATAGTAAATGACAATTTTCAAACCTAGAATAATATATCAAATCTCTCAATTCCCATTATTATAAATAAATAATTAAATTTAGAAACTTAAACAGATATGTAAGTACATTGTGCTAACTAATAATATATTGATTATGCAAACTTATTTTTATTATCCTACACTTTATACTACAATGAACAATAATTTCTGTATGGAAGGAATGTCATCTTGAATTCAGTTATACTCTTTACTACAGGTTTATATAGGTCGTAATAAATCAATTTGTAATCAGGCAACTATTAGCATGGCGAAGACTCAAGATACTGTAGAATAGGACGTTGTTCATTGTATAGAAACACGTGATTGAGAAGAATCGTGATTTGAAGCCGTATAACGAGAAGCGAAATTGTGCAATCACAGTCAATGCAGTAGACTGGCATTGCCGTAGTTACAGATTTATTAAGCTTTTACAAGAACGCTAACTCGGCCTACGATAGTTGACGAAGACAGATATGGTCGCTAAGAGACAAACGTATTATCCACAAATCCATTTTGAATTTCGATTATGTCGAGACTTAATAAGGACAGGAACTTACAAGGACTTTATTAAGGACTATTTAGTAATAGTGATAAGTAAAAATATAAATGAAATATCGTAGATGAATTATAGATTGTTTTATAGTCAAAATTCAGGTAACAACAATAGACATATGATGTGTAATAGAGTATATTAACCCATTCGCTACCAAGCCTAAATTATATGAAGTTATTCCCATTACCATTTCTGTTTTGAGTGTTATTCTAACCTAACCTAACGCGTATGAAAACTAATCTGCTTGTCACTCCACTCAACCATTACATTGGAATGATTCTGAACAGAACTGAATTAAACGGTGAACTAAATGACAAGGTTTCAATTGTAAATATCTTAAAAATTATTGAGTAGTGATAGCTATAATCATATATCTTCACCATCAGGGGAACTAACTCTACGATCCTGCAAAATTTGAACTAAATTGGTGACCCGAAGGCCTCACAGTCTCCTTGTTAGACGTTAACCCAAGGATCTGGTTTTAATTTAACCTTTTAGGTACGGTGCGCTCGCCTGCCATTTTGTCTCCCAGAAAGAACGTAAGTACCGCGACCTTCGCCATTTTCTTTTTGCACGCTACACAAATTTGCAACGTTCTTTTGATTTTAACGGTTTTATGATATGACGGAAAATGTGATTTAGTCGAAATAGATGAGAAATAAAACGGAAAACGTATAATACCATACAAAATTAGGATAACCCCGGAAGCCATTATAGTGGTGTACCGTTCAAATTGATGCTTTGCACGAAAGCCACTATAGTGACGTATCGTACCTAAAAGGTTAAATGCCAGTCAAAACTATTCTAAATGGGTATATTAACATGGACACTTATGACTTTTTGGAAGAATTAGAAGACACTATTTTACGCCCACAAAAAAAGGGTCCAAAGATCGTTCGAAGAAGGGAAATAAATGTTCCAGTAGCTGGAAAATATCATTTTGACTTCCACTGTACTAATTGATGACGAAATCGTTGACAGAGTTATTGAAGAGATACTGGATCGGAGTGGAGAGTCAGGTAGAAAGTCGTGAGAGTCGTTAGACTCGTAAGAGTAGTCAGAGAGTTGTTAGGGGGTCGTTAGAGCATGTTACAGCAGTACCATAACTTCAAGCAGATACATATTTATTAAATAAGAAAGTTTATTTGATGTGCATTAGTCATGGATTTTTCTTTTTTATTTATTGTTTAACGTTTTCATAAGAACAATTTCACAAGTAGTACACGGTAATAGTTTAATGACTATATCTTGTTATATGATAATATCTGTTCCATGGATTTGAAGTGGTTTTAATTATAGACTGGTATTTTTACTGCAAGTAACAACGAGATTAGAACTATTTCGATATTTCTATAAATCGCAGTTTTATTTTCATTAGCATTAAGATTCTCAAATTATACCAAAAATTTCAGGCTTTTCATTTTTGTAGTTATCAAAAACGTGCAATTATTTTTAGAAAAATTAATACTGATTTTTATTGACACAGTACCTGTTTACTCTCATTACTACTATTTATATATACTACATTTAGATATATATTACAGAATGTTAATTGTAGTATCAGACATTGTCAATTTGGTTTCGATATTTCAAATGAAATTGAAGTTTTGGGAAAGCTAAAGGAAAGGATTTATTTCCCAGAAAAAATTCTCTTCCCTAATTATTTCGATAAAAAAAGTTAGAAATACTTCCGTCTAAAATAGCATAAATTTAAAGGCAATTTATTCCGAGTAGATTAATCTTCGAAGATAATAAATTAATAGAAAATCCACAACCTCGAGATTTCCTATTACCCTTTACAATTATTGCTTCAAATTATCAGAAAAATGGCAAATGTAACGAATATTTTACAGAACACTCTACGCGTCTATAAACCCAACAAATATTCCAATGTAGCGTTTAAAATCAAAGTCTGAAATAGATTCGAAGCTCTCGATAAATCTCGTTACCGTCTAACAATCCCATTTATTACACGAATTGCAAATATTTCCATTCAGGACACTGTAAGCATTATCCCAGCAGCATCTGAGGCCGGAAGAAAAATTGTAGAACGTGCAAGACTGAGACGCCTGTATCCTCGAACCTCTACGGCCTAGCCTGAACGCATCAAGTACAGGGTACAAGGAGGTTCTCTAAAACTGATGGTAAGGCGTGAAATTTTGACAGCGAGATGAATGAAACCGTGCTTTATTCAACGAGAGTATACACAGAGAGGCTTGGCCTCGGTTCACGTATCCTCGACGTAAGAACGTGGCGGAAATCGATACCAGCGCGACTTGAAGCACACTCGACCCTGGCAGGGTCAGAGTGGCGAAGAGGAAGAGAAGAGAGACGACGGTAAGCTGAAGAGAGAATGGAGAGGATCGAGGAATACGAGCATCGAGAGCACCCGGCCTGGCCTTGATTCCACGTCATACAACCTACCTTGTTCACTTCCTTTTCCATGAGCTTGTATTTCTTGCTGCGCGCGAGCTTCTCGGGCGGGGCGTTCGCCACCTCGAGCTTGCTGCGTTGTTGTTCCGCTACACGAAGCTTCGTTTCCGCTTGCCGTGACCCCGTCTGGTATGTCTGGTACGTTTTCATCGTGGTATGCAGCTCGTCCAGCACTCGGAGAATCTCCTCGTGCGTCTCGTATCCTATCTCACGGCACTGAAATCAATTCCAACAGACGATCGTCATTTTTAATCCTCCTCTCTCGTCCTAAGGCTCATTCGTTACTCACAGCATTAACGTTAATGGAAAATACGATTTTCTGTTGGGATAACGAATGTACAGGGTGTTTGCGAAGTTGTGCAACTGAGCAGGAAACGTGAAATCAAATTTTTGTCATAGAGGAAGCTTCATTTTTGGGAATCCATTTGTTAAATTGATTAACCACTTGCGCTGGAAAGACGTGTGTTCCGTCCCGGAGAACGTGTTTATAACATGATTTTTATTCTAAGGCTTACACTTTTAACAGACCTAACGGTTTATTTTATATTTTATACCGCGACTGCAATTCCGGAGGTTAGATATGTCTCATCGCCGTTCTAGCGGATTAAGTTTACAAAGGTAAAGCAAAGTTTAGGAATTTTTACAAGTACCAGACTCGACAGATGGGCCCACGTGTGACAGACCCAAACGACGGACGCACACCACTTATAAATCACGTCATTGACCATCAAAAATCGGCTCCTTGACAGTTTCCTACTCCTTAGCCAAAGGTCCTTCCGTCACACCCTCTGTCCAATTAAAACTCCTTACTTTTCCATCACCAACGTTTATTTTGCCCAATCAGAACTAAACTGGAGAAAACACCGGACAGGACACGACGAGACACGGCATAGATCAAATTCGAGAAATCAGTTCGTCTTCGACACCGATCCTTGAAACATCTTACTTACGCATATAAACGCGTGTTCGAAACGGTACTCCGTTCAACGTCTCCATTATAACTATTCTATACTTTTCTATAAATAAACACTCTCTTTTGACCACACACTCTGGATCCTTAATATTACAACTAGTCACGCAATATTAATTTGGCGCGTGATAAGCGTTTTAGGACATCGAAGGGATTCGATACGGTAGGACGCTAAACAACGTGCAAGGCACGTCGTAATGCTTTTGTCGCAGAATCGCCAACGACGTGGTATACACGTCGTTAAGCAAGTGTCACAGAAACATTGGACCGTTTTGGCACACGCGTCTGCGAATTTCTTGCCAGCGTAAGTGGTTAATTTAAATTTTTGATAGTTAAACGATGCCTTTTGTGTTTTATACTATATCCTAGTTATATGGGTTGTTTTAAATCTTTTAATAGAGGATATTTACGTTATTTTAACACTAGATCTACCAAGGAGCGTCAAAATGACTTGTTTGGCATTTCTTATAATTAGTATTCATTTTCAATACATTTTGTTTCCTAAAATTTTGCATGACTTTTTCTAAAATATGCAAATAATTAATTCTGTAAAGCAGTTTTCTTTTTTTTTGTCTATTTGCTGTAAAATTTTACGCAGTATACCTCCATATACCGAGATGAGTCATTTTGACCCCCCACGGAACTTAGGTAAACTTGTGATTTTAGAAGTTTCTCATATTAACTTTGCATAGTTCAAATACATTTGTAGAAAACTAAGTATAGACCCAATTCTGTTCTTACACGAACTTCTTTTACACGATTTTAATTTAACACGAATTAGGAAAAAAATTTAATTCTCTTTTTACACGACTTCCTTTGATTCATCACGATCGATGTACACCCAATTCTGTTTTTACACGAACTTCTTTTACACGATTTTGATTTAACACGAATTAGGACAAAAATTTAATTCTCTTTTTACACGACTTATTTTGATTTAACACGATCGACCCAAATTTTTGGCCTAGCCAAAACACAAACACAACGATTAATTACCGAATTCGTTCTTAAATCCACTGAAACATCGGCACCACAGGAGGCTAGTCCTAATTTTGTTCAAGAGATTACAGAAAGAATTTCAGCAATGGAGCACGAAAACGATAACCAAGACATTTCTAGCGATAGCAGTAATATTGCAGTCTTACGCAAACGTATGCGTTTATTGTCAAAAAATGACAACGAATAAAATCTTTTTACGTGTAACTCGTATTATCTTGTCTAATTTTTGTGTTCATGAATTAGTGACATGTTTTTTTCCTTTTCAAATGATAATTTACTTCGTACGATACATGTGCAATCTTTATGAAATAAAATGTTTAAGATCCTAACATGAAAACTCATGGTTTATTGTACTATTTTTGCTGATTTCTTGGGGCTGGAACCAATCTTCTATTTCTCCATAGATGCAATATATTTTTTTACACGAATTTTTTTTACACGTATTCTTCGGGAACGTATCTATCGTGTAAAAACAGAATTAGGTGTATTTTCGTACATGTACGTTGTACAAAATTGCTATAGAAGACATATATTATGTAGGATCGCAAGTTTTCCACTGCATTTCCACAGTTTTCCAGGTCAGTAAAATAGCATATTGTACTAATAACAAAACGAACAATATTTGTGGTACATGTCATAAACGAGTCTGTGGTAGATGCTCTGCTATAATAATTGTAACTTGCAAAAAGTGTCTTTGACTTTTATGCGTAATTATTTTTTAAATTATTGTTATTATATTACTGTCGTTATTCAGTTTATATTCAATTTTCGCTCAGAAAAGAGAAAAATAGATAAAAACGTGAAAATTGCTATGTCTTTTTTCAAATGACTTATGAATTTATGAAACAAGTCATTTTGACCCTTCCGGTAAAAGTAGGTATACGTCAATCGTCGGTTGTTCTATGTTAAGAATTTAATCCATTTTCTGGTGGTCACCGTTGACCACTATCGCTTCACTGAGGAAAAACAGGCTTTGGTCACGGATGACCAACGTTGCAGTCAACGTGTTAAGCATAACAGACTATATTAAATTTGCGATATATCGGAATATCTACTATCTACTCCTGGCAAAAATATCTCGGATAAGCTTAACACTAGATTTACGGAACCAAAATTCGTCAATTTGACGGATAGGTTGCTCCAATTATACGATGGTGACAGATTTAGTTAACTTATATTAACCTCTTGGGTACGGTAGGCGCCTATAGGCGCTTAGAAATTTTGCGTTTTTGACACGGAGGGCGCCTATGGGCTCTTAGAAATTTTGCGTTTTTGACACGGAAGGCGCCTATGGGCACTTAGAAATTTTGCGTTTGTGACATGGAGGGCGCCAATGGACGCTTAGCAATTTTGCTTTTGTGACACGGAGGGCGCTTATGGGCCCTCAGAATTTTGCGTTTGTGACACGGGGGGTGCCTATGGGCTCTTGGAAATTTTGCGTTTGTGACACGGGGGCGCCTATGGGTCCTTAGAAATTTTGCGTTTGTGACACGGAGGGCGCTTATGGGCCCTCAGAGTTTTTCGTTTGTGACACGGAGAGCGCCCATAGGCGCTTAAAAATTTTACGTTTGTGACTCGGAGGGCGCCTATGGACGCTTCGAAATTTTGCGTTTGTGACACGGAGGGAGCCCATAGGCACTTAGAAATTTTGCGTTTGTGACATGGAGGGCACCTATAGGCGCTCGACGTAGTTTAGCTTTCTGACACGGGGGGCGCTTGTTTTCACAAAAATGGCGCACATCGTAACTCAATTCCTGTCGTACGGTACGGCCGTTGCGTATCAAAATCTGCCGTAGTGAATGGGTTAAGACTGTTAATATTGTAATTGTTTTTAAATTAAACTAATCCTTAAAAAAAAGACACGTGGTTTCCTTTACCTATCAATTTGACAGGTGTCAAATATGTAGAAATATATGTAGAAATAGGTAGAAATACGGTAGGCGTCCGTAAACTTAGTGTTAATAATGCTTATTCTACCTATTTTATTAAGTTCAAATTATTCTCTTGTTTTGTTTTCACTTTTTATCAAATCAATCTAACATACCTTGTTTTATGTTTATATTATAGCATTTTATATTTAGATAACTTTGTATTATCATTTTAATCAAAAAATTCTTTTTTCCAGGGGTAACAGACCATTGTTTGCGAAACTATGTTCCATGGGGCCCTGTGGCTCCTTTTGATGTCTATAATCATCATATTATCATCATGTCATCACTCATATGTTATCTATATGACTCTGTGAGCCAATAGAAAAAGCAACGAAGTTGAAGCTTAATTTTACAAATATTTCAGGAATATTCAAATTAATTACACTGTATTTTTAATAATTTTTACTTTCATTTTGATTTTTATCTTTTTAATATGAAAATTATTCTCCTATACATCGAAGAAAAAGAAGAGAAAATTAAATGAAGTAAAATGTTGGAACTCATTTGCAATACCTTTAATTAAATTCAGTTCCATATTTAAAAAGAAGTTTGAGAACCACTGATCTAGCTTACCATTAACTCCAGAATTATCAAGAGAGTAAAAATAACTGGCTTTAGATTTTTGTGTTTTTAATTACTAAAAATATGTAACAGTCGCTTTTATCAAAATTAATGTTGTCTTTAATTAAGATAGAAATGTAATTATACATAGGGTGTCCCATTTTAACTTAGCAAAATATCTGAAAACCCAAGCTTTTCCGATAAAAAATGTTTCAAACAAAAATTGTAGACTTCATAGTGTCAAAAACAACTGTATTATTTATTTCTGATTCGTTGCACACTTTTAAGGTCAATTTTGAAGGAGAACTTCGTTTTCTTAAACGGAATCAAATATTTTTCTTTACAGATTTTAGGGAAAGAAGTATAAAACTTTTGTAAATTATTCTATTTAAAAAATCTTGGTTTTTACCGACACCCTATATACCTATTTATTTTCATTTTAATTATTGTTAACTAATTTAGTATTAATTTATCATATGTAAAGTAAGTATATTTAAATACACATTACAGGGTGATAATTATACCATCGATAATTTATTACTTCATTCTAACGTAAGGTTGATTTTTTAAAATTTTAAATGGTGTCTTTTAAGCCTTTGAAATGGCGTATGATCATGGTCTCTGAATCAACGGGTAAACGCACACGTGGCCAATAATGACCATTAGTTCTAACGGACCGCGTAATTAATGTTGGCTGGTACATGGACATACGGTTGATGGAAACACGAAGGGTCCCGACATCACTAGGCAACACC